GTCAGTGATACCAAGTCAGTTCCCCCCAGTATATCCCAGTATATATACACCACCATTTGTAAACGATAGAACTTTCACATAAACCAATTAATTTACAGGTAGTGGGATTTTTGTTTAGCAAAGACATGTAACAGAATACATTTTGGTTTAAATTTATGACTATATTAGATATTTTTCTTTTTCTTTTGCTGGACAGGTTTAATAACAAAAACTCACAAATATTGTTTTTTTTTTTCTCAAAATTGTCGGTCTTTCTTTTTTTATAGCGAAAAAAAAAATAAAAACCACACAGGCAATCAAACACCACCAAAAGAAAGCTCAATTCGTGGGAAAAAAAAGGATGTAAATTTCATTTGGGTGCAGCGTTGCATGACCGCACAATTGTCAGTTAAAGTAACGCATCTCTGTAACACAAAAAATAGCTGGTCAGGAAGGGGGGTAAATCCTCTGGAGGGCAAGTGGTTAGAGAACCTTTGGTTGGAAATGAAATATAGGTTATTAATCTATTATTATTAATATACAGGATTTATATAGCGGCAACAGTTTGTGCATCGCTTTACAATATAAAGGGAGACCATACAGTTACAATACAATAAAAAAAACAAGAGTTTTAAGATGGCCCTGCGCATAAGAGTTTGCAATCTAATAGGGTGGATATGAGGATACTTTAGATTAACATAAGGTGGCTATATTGCAGCTGCATTAATACTTAACAGAGCCTAGATGGATGAGAACTTTTTCTATAAAAATAAAAACTAAAGGTTTTATAATAACTTGATGTGTGGTGCATAATGTGAGAGTGATAAATAAAATTACAGACCCATCTTACCAAGCCCACACACCCTGTTAGGATAAATGCCACCTGCAGCCGGCTGTTTTATGTTTTTTTGACTGATGATTTTTCTGTGTTTTCATACACAGATCGTTGGTATTTTTTGTTTTTATTTATTCTTATTTTTTAATCCAAAGCAGAATGTGTGGACTGTGAAATGATGTGCCTCTTTCCCATGTAAGTGCAGTGGTAAGCTGAAGATAACTTTGGATTTATGGACATCTCTGCATGACCGCACGGTATTGTTATATGTTGTGACATCAGGAAAATATGTAAGGTGGAAACTAAGAACTTGTATTATCTAGCTAAAACTAACAGAGCAAGCAAAGAGAAACTATAATATTGCTAGGAAAAAGCTGTCTTTTTAGAACATGAAACTGGAGTTCTTACACAAAGAGCATGTGGAAAAAACAAGCCATCGAGACAATATTTCATGCAAGCTGGACCCAGTAGTGCAGAGTTCACCCAGCTATATCAGAGCAGTAGCTATATGCAAGGTGCTACTAGACAAAGGTACAGACATTATATTGGTCAATTATTCAACTTTAATGGTGCCACACTTTGTGGAGCATTTATTGCAATGAATCCAACTAAATATTTGTCTAATACAAATTTCACAAATTATAAATATTGTATGGTTATTTATATACAATTTTAACAATGAAAAAAGGCATACCATTGAACCCAGCCACCTTATTGCCTATATCGGAGGAGGCTGGAGACAAAAAAAAACCACATGTGTTAAACTGATGTTGTAGAAATCAGCTGCTGTGAGCCCAGTGAGGACATACTGCTTGAAGACCCAGATATATGCTTTTTTTTTTTTTTTTTTTTTTTGAAGATTTGATCCCGGTATTAGAACAAGGATGGCTAGACCCATACTGAATATGCCATTATAACCCAGAAGGACACACTGTATTTACAATTGTTGGATCCTTCTTCCCCAGCTCAAGAAGCAGAGCTCCATGCTTTCGCAAAGCCTGCGAGCTATCAAAAAAGTATATAAAAGTACAAAAAAAGTTTTTTACTTCAGCAGGTAAACCAATCAAGCATGCTAAGTTAATTGATTGAATATCTTCAGACTTCCATATTTTTGCTGAGGTAGCTATACAAACATTAAAAAGCACACATTGGAAGCAGACCAGCTGACTAAGATTACTTCAATAGAGCCCCAGACAGTTGCTGGGTCTGTGCAACTCACAGGTTCCACCCTATTTCTGATATTTCCGATTAATAATTACACTCTGAGGACCCCAGAACAAGAAGAACAAGTGGCCCACAGTGGGAGCAACGTCTTATAAAACAGGACTTTGGAAAAAGGTGATCCTTAGGTCTGCCAGCCACTTTTTCCTTTCAGCTTGACACATGGACAGTGTCATCAGTCAAAAGCAGTTATGGCTGCCTTAGTAAGCGAGTATGGAATAGCACCAGGTTTATACCACTACTTGTTTTACCCGTTACCAAAAAAACTGATCGTCTCCCTTCCTGAGATTACAAAAGGATATATCCAGATTCCCAATTCAGGATCTTATGAGTATGCACTGGTCTGTATGGACATGTTTTCTAAATGGCCAGAAGTTTGGCCAGTGGCAAATGCTTCTGCAAAGGCCACAGTAAAGAGTGTTATCAGAAGTAATTTTTATGTACAAAGTCCCAGAAGCTAGAGAGAATAACAGAGGATACATTTTATAGGAAAGTTCTTACAAGAAGTTTGAGGTCTTATTTTACACCCCCTACTATCTACAATGCAGTGGAAAAAAAGTACTAAGGGGATGTCAAAAACAAGAAAACTATGGCCTGAATGTCTTCATATTTTTACTCCCATAAGGGGATATATTAATTCTCTTCCTATGAGATATTTGGAAGTGTGCTGCTCATTTGCTTATATCTTTCTCAGTAGCTGAAGGCCTCCACTTGGATCTCACAGAAAATGTTGCTGATCTCTTAAGGTTTTAACAAACCTATGTATGTATTTTCTCCTCAAATTCCAGATTCTAACAGTTTGGAAGGATCTCATAAACTAAAGCCAGGTGACTTGTAGATTAAGAGACATTTATTTTATATATATATATATATATATATATATATATATATATATATATATATAAATGGTTGGAGACACAATACAGCTTCTATGTCATGTACAGTTAATAAAACCTGAAGAAAAAAATCACCTCAATCTACACCAGACACTGTAAAAATTACTGAATGAAAGTATCTTTGTGTTTAATTTGGTTTCCTCTTGGAATCACAGTCTGGGGTACTATTTATTCAAATGCTTTAATAAATATATTAGTAAGGGATATATGTACACTATATTGCCAAAAGTATTGGGACGTCTGCCTTTACACGCACATGAACTTTAATGGCATCCCAGTCTTAGTCCATAGGGTTCAATATTACAGTGGTTGTAAGCCCAATGTCTAACAAATATCAAACATTCACATCTCCTTACAGTTTGTAGTTTGAACATGACAGGCGTATTATTTGTTTTTCATGTCTTTGCCTTTTTCAGCCCACTGAATATCTCCCAGTCTGTCAGTGTGTACACTGCCCGGAGCTCGGGAGGCAAAGTCATGATGACCCTAGACTCTCCTCGAGGCTGTACACCCCCCCGGTATTCTCCCTAGCACAGCTTAGCAGCATGCACATTGGCTGTTCACTTTCAAAGCTCGGCAAGTCTGTTGGATGGTAGTGCTGCAGGTCCAGAGGAGGGAGGAGCAGAGAGCAAGTGACAGTGCGGGCTCCATGCTCAGGCTGTGCCTGCATGAGACACACCCCCTTCACTCATGATCCTGCATGAGCCTTCTGATTAAGTATGTAATTCAAAGGAGAGGGGGTGTGGCAACACCTTTTTTACTCAGGTGTTTTTTTACTTTGGAAGAGCAGAGACGATTGCAGATCACAGGATGCTCTTTTCCTGGCCAAACTGAGCTTAGTAGAGTTTTGCCGCACTGCTGAGTTAGATGCCATGTTCAGTTTAATTTTGATTATTTGGATTTACAACCACTTTAAGTTGGCCCCGCCCTTTGCAGGTATAACACCTTCAACTCTTCTGGGAAGGCTGTCCACAAGGTTTAGGAGTGTGTCTATGAGAATGTTTGACCATTCTTCTAGAAGCGCATTTTTGAGGTCAGGCACTGATGTCGGACAAGCAGACCTGGCTCGCAGCCTCCTCTCTAATTCATTGCAAAGGTGTTCTATAGGGTTGAGGTCAGGACTCTGTGCAGGCCAGTCAAGTTTCTTCACCCCAAACTCGCTCATCCATGTCTTTATGGACCTTTCTTTTAGCACTGGTGCGCAGTCATGTTGGAACAGGAATGAGCCATCCCCAAACTGTTCCCACAAAGTTGGGAGCATGAAATTGTCCAAAATGTATTTGTATGCTGACACCTTTCCCTGCACTAGAACTAAGTAGCCAAGCTCAACCCCTGAAAAACAACCCCATACCATAATCCCCCCTCCACCAAACTTTACACTTGGCACAATGCAGTCAGGCAGATACTGTTCTCCTAGCAACCGCCAAACCCAGACACATCTATTGGATTGCCAGACAGAGAAGTGAGATTCGTTATGCCAGAGAACACGTCTCCACTGCTCTAGAGTCCAGTGACACTGCGCTTTACACCACTTCATTCAATGCTTTGCATTGCACTTGGTGATGTAAGGCTTGGATGCAGCTACTCAGCCATGGAAACCCATTCCATGAAACTCTATGCACAGTTGTGCTAACCTGAAGGCCACAGGAAATTTTGAGGTCTTTAGCCATTAACTCTGCAAACAGTTGACAATTTCTGTGCACTGTGCGCTTCAGCATGTGCTGACCCCGCTCTGTCATTTTACGTGGCCTACCACTTCGTGGCTGAGTTGCTGTTGTTCCCAGTTGCTTCCACGTTGTTATAATACCACTAACAGTTGACCTTGGAATATTTAGTAGCAAGGAAATTTCACATATGGACTTATTGCACAGGTGGCAACCTATCACGATACCACAATTGAATTCACTGAGCTCCTGAGAGTGACCCATTCTTTCACAAATGTTTGTAGAAGCAGTCTGCATGTCTAGGTGCTTGATTTTATACACCTGTGGTGATTGGAACACCTGAATCCAATGATTTGGATACTATATACTAGAAGCAGACATAAATCTCAACTCTGGGCACAAATGTATAACTGGTCTCCCACAGTACACACAACATGGAAATGCAATTATTTTAGTAAATCTAAACTGCTAAATACCTTTTTCCATAAGCAGTTAGAACAGTCTTTTGACTTCTATCAGTGTCCAGCACAGCTGTAGGAGGAGTTTTCATTTTCCCCTGATTGTCCTATGAGGCTGCAGAACCCCTGACCCTCTGTCAGGACAGCTCTGATTGGCCCTATGCTGATCACATGCACCCTCCCAAGAGAAAAAAAAAAAATAACCTTCCAGCAATACACACACACATGTACAGCTTGCCCCCAAGGCTCTGTTCTATCAGCAGATGGATTGGGGACAGTAGAAGGGGGGAAGGATCAGACAAGACAGGGTCAAACATCCTTTTTACACAATGCGGAGGATTAACCCCCTAAGTTTCACAGTGAGTATCACAAGCATGCTTTACTGCATATACAGACTGATTTTACTGTTGTGGGTTTAAGTAACACTTTAATGAATAATTGCACTTTCACACAAAGTTAACTTTTTTTCTACCCATGTTCTTGACCTAAATTATTTCACTCTCACCCTCCAGAGACGTGTACTTACTGAGATCCATTAACAGCCTTTGTGGATTGTTTAAATCTCACGCTACATGTCCCTCTTCCTTACGTGTTGATGGCCCCATAGAAGTCTATGGGAGTGTAAAGAACCAGCAAAGGAATCTTGCAGTGAGGGATGAAAACACTCCCCGAAAGGTGTGAACAAAGGATTTTGGTAAGTACATATCTGTGAAGGGCGTGTGTAGACTTTTTAGGCCAATTACAAGGGGAAAATAATGATGTACTCTGTTTGAAAGTGCACTTATTCTTTAACAAAAATCTTCACTAAATCACCTCCTTTTTAGCACTGTCCTCTACAATAAATTCCGTGCCACAACTAGATGTCACCAGTTTTCCGGGTTAAATTTCAACTCAGAAGGCTGAGCCCATTGTGTGCAAACAAAAACTAGCAGTCACCCAAAGTGTAAAATTTAAAGTATCACTAAAGGCAAAACTTTTTTTTTTTCGTTTTGGACAGAGTGATGGTGGATTAGAACATGGTCAATTTTAATTGCAAGGGAGATCCACCCTCTCTATTTGTACTGTTTACTGTTCTGGAGATCTGGGGGTTCCCAAGATATTCTCTTAATTTGCAGGGACTTCCACCTACTTCCTGTTTATCTATAGGACAGAAAGCGAAGGTAAATCTCCGCAATGGGACAAAGATGACAAAAATGACAGGGGTTATAACCCTCCCTTACTCTATCCAAAAGTCTTGATATATAAAAGGCTGAGGCAGAAATGTTAAGTTAAAAGTTCTAGTACATGTATAACACTTTCACCACAACAGACGTGTTTTCAATGACCGATTTTCTGGAGCCATGCTATAATAATTTCAGTTATTCAAGCAAAACGAATAATTTATATAAAAAAAAAAAAAAAGTTTTGTTGTGTTATTCGTTCATTCTTAACATTATCATCCCGGCACAGAAAAACAGATACAAAATGTGAGCATAATTAACAAAGCATGGAGAAAGAATGAGAAGTCCGAAAAATAGCATTCTTATGTCGAATCTCGTAGCAAATTAGTTTTATAATAGATGCCATTTGTAATCCGGGCTTTTTGCACAGTGTAAAGTAATGGCAAATTACCCAATTAAATATCTACTTCATCCCAAGCTGCAAGGCTGCTGGCATACAAGCACAGGCAGAGATATATCTTGTTGTGTGGCAGTGAATGAGATACAATAAATAGTAGCATGCAAATCATGTGCTTGATTTCAGGAATCAATGTATAGATTGCAAAATTATAACATGGAATGTAAATGTAAAATTTAAGCTATCAGAGATCAACGTATTTACTAACTGGAGCTAGGCTTCAGGCGTAAGTGCTATAAATGGGCTATTAACGCATAAAATTATATACCCCGAAATTTAGGAACTTGGGGAATGTTACACTGCAGTATGCAGACCTAGCTAACAGCTTACCAGATGTGTCCCAGTTTTTAATGGGACAGGAAGCCACAAGTCAAAAATTAATTTGCAGCACCACCCGCTGGCAAAAGCTGGCACCAATATCTCACAAATGCTACAATGTTCTACTGTCACTTTATGGTAAGATTTCTGTACACAAGGCTCTATTAAGCTTTTTTTTTGTTAATTCAGCCAATAAAAGGGCTACGCACAGATCAAAATTCAGCCAGTCCCTGGTGACCTGGCCAAATTTTGATCTGTGTGTACCCACCTTTAAGGCGGCGCTCCATGACTATAACTTTGTATCAGTGTGAGGTCCATGGGAATATCCATGTAGTAGCAGCTAAGCAAGACTCAGAGACAGGACTTGGGACAGTTAAAACCGTAGAAGACCTGACCTCCCTTTTTACAACACACTACATCTGTAACTGATATATCACTTTAGGTGGACTGGGTTTTTTATTTTAAATGCAATACTTGAAAGCTTCAACTGCACAACACATTCAGTCAAATGTGCATGAATAACCTAGTTCTACTGCACAAAACTGAAAGGATCTCAAAGATTCTCTCTTTATGAAAAAAGAGCATGCAAGCAAAGTAATATGTAAATGTAATGCTTACTTTTATTTATTTGTAATTCTCTAATGACAATGTTTCAATTTCTCTCCAGCAAGTCACCACTATTTTTATTCAGGTATCATGCAAAGTCAACATTTACTTAATGGACTGGGCACCAGACCACAAATGATATGACCAACTAAATCCGAAAGCCCGCACAGTAGCCTTTATGTTCTGGGCTTTGAGCACATACGTTGTTTCACCCATATCCACCGCATGCTGCTGCTTTTCATTCTGTAATCTGCCAGAAAGTTGCAATGTACAGCTATAGCGAGAGCTGCACCCCAACTATGTGGAGCAAAGACTTATGGATAAAAGGGTATAAACATAATAGTGTTGATGAATCTGAATGCTTTTATATTATTATTTAATTGTAGCTCTGATGAAGGGAAAGGTTTAATGCCCTGAAACATGTTGAAGAAGTTCCCAACAATCAAATATTGCAGCTATGATAAAAGGCTTTAGCAAATTTATACCATCATGCCCATATAACGCTTTGCATCTCCTGATGCGAGTGGAATGCTCACTGTAACTGTACCTTGCTCACTTTGGTCCTTTGGCTCCCATGTTGCACATGAGCAGCCTATATCTAACAACATATGATGGTCCCTGGCTTGTGCCTGGACATGTTCCTTACCAAATAGTGACATGACGGTATGAAAGTCATGAGTGTTTCAGTGTGTAATCACTGGTGGAGGGGAGGATGAGAAAAATCTTTACTACTGTTAGTTATGTCAGGAATTTATTATTGCAGACTTCCTCATTTTCAATAAATGTTGACAAAAATATAAAATTTTACCTCATTCTTCTTTATTCTCCTTGCTACAATTAACTGGATCATTCCTCTTTTATTTCCTTCTACGGACATAGACTTCCGCAAAGTTTCCATGGCATCTTGGTTTGTTTTACCTAACAGTGATTCACCATTGACTGCCACTAGTTGATCATTCACACGAAGCCTTCCATCCTGCAACAAACAAGGTGGTAGCTATTTTTTTTTTTTTTTTTAAACCTTTTCAAGTTTGCATCAATGCAAGGTAAAATTAAAAGGAGATCTATGGTAACAGCATATGCTTTCATATTATAACATCAGCATCGTAATAACAACACAAAACACAAATAGTTACACCTGACCATTCAATATAAGCTTACTTGAAAAATTTCCATCTCTTGGCACAACTTCTCGGATTCCCTGCATGCTTTGCAGCTTCTCCTCTGCTGTTTACTTATAATTTCTAAGGACTACATATCTCATGGTACCTTGTTCCCTGCAAGCAGTGATTCCTGTACTGACTCCGCCTCCTGAAACTCCTCCTCTCAGCTCCTCTGTAGTTCAGAAGGCAGGCTCTGTGAAATGAGTGACACAGCAATGCCTACTCACAGGGAATGGTGAATACATGTCAGAGAATTGAAGGAAGTAAATGTGTGGGGATCTTCAAAAAGTTTACAAACTTTAAGATAATTTAGATTAATAGGAGTTGGCTGGAAAAAAAAATGAAAAACAATGGCGAAATGAATATATAGAATAGGTTCAACTGCGCAAATTCCCCACTTTCACAATATACAAAGCTGCAGATACTTTAAGAGGACATCCTTCGTTAGTAAATTTTAAATAGCAATTAAATGTTACACTAAGTGTGAAAGAAAAAGATTATATAAAAAAATTAATCATGTGAACTATACAGTGGGGATCGAAAGTTTGGGCACCCCAGCTAAAAATTTGTATTAATGTGCATAAAAAAGCCAAGGAAAGATGGAAAAATCTCCAAAAGGCATCAAATTACAGATTAGACATTCTTATAATATGTCAACAAAAGTTAGATTTTATTTCCATTGTTTACACTTTCAAAATAACAGAAAACAAAAAAATGGCGTCTGCAAAAGTTTGGGCACCTGCAGAATTTATAGCATGCACTGCCCCCTTTGCCAAGCTGAGACCTGCCAGTGTCATGGATTGTTCTCAATCATCGTCTGGGAAGACCAGGTTATGTCAATCTCAAAGGTTTTAAATGCCCAGACTCATCTGACCTTGCCCCAACAATCAGCACCATGGGTTCTTCTAAGCAGTTGTCTAGAAAAGTGAAACTGAAAATAGTTGACGCTCACAAAGCTGGAGAAGGCTATAAGAAGATAGCAAAGCGTTTTCAGATGTCAATATCCTCTGTTCGGAATGTAATTAAGAAATGGCAGTCATCAGGAACAGTGGAAGTTAAAGCAAGATCTGGAAGACCAAGAAAAATATCAGACAGAACAGCTCGCAGGATTGTGAGAAAAACAAATCAAAACCCACGTTTGGCTGCACGATCCCTCCAGAAAGATCTGGCAGACACTGGAGTTGTGGTACACTATTCCACTATAAAGAGATACTTGTACAAATATGGTCTTCATGGAAGAGTCATCAGAAGAAAACCTCTTCTACGTCCTCACCACAAAAATCATTGTTTGAACTTTGCAAATGAACATGTAGACAAGCCTGATGCATTTTGGAAACAAGTTCTGTGGACTGATGAGGTTATAATTGAACTTTTTGGCCGGAATGAGCAAAGGTATGTTTGGAGAAGAAGGGGCACAGAATTTAATGAAAAGAACCTCTGTCCAACTGTTAAGCATGGGGTTGGATCAATCGTGCTTTGGGGTTGTGTTGCAGCCAGTGGCACAGGGAACATCTCACGAGTAGAAGGAAAAATGGATTCAATAAAATTTCAGCAAATTTTGGATGGTAACTTGATGCCATCTGTGAAAAAGCTGAAGTTAAAGAGAGGATGGCTTCTACAAATGGATAATGATCCTAAACAAACCTCGAAATCCACGGGGGATTACATCAAGAGGCGTAAACTGAAGGTTTTGCCATGGCCTTCACAATCTCCTGACCTCAACATAATTGAAAATCTATGGATAGACCTTAAAAGAGCAGTGCGTGACAGACAGCCCAGAAATCTCAAAGAACTGGAAGACTTTTGTAAGGAAGAATGGGCAAAGATACCTCAAACAAGAATTGAAAGACTCTTGGCTGGCTACAAAAAGCTTTTACAAGCTGTGATACTTGCCAAAGGGGGCAGTACAAGATATTAACTCTGCAGGGTGCCCAAACTTTTGCAGACGCCATTTTTTTGTTTTCTGTTATTTTGAAAGTGTAAATGATGGAAATAAAATCTAACTTTTGTTGACATATTATAAGAATGTCTAATCTGTAATTTGATGCCTTTTGGAGATTTTTCCATCTTTCCTTGGCTTCTTTATGCACATTAATACAAATTTTTAGCTGGGGTGCCCAAACTTTCGATCCCCACTGTACATACACAGTACAACGTGAAAATTAATGCCTATAAGTGATATCATATACGATCCATATAAGGAACAATACAATGTTCAAAGTCAACATGAATGACAGCTTCCACAAACATTTTGTGAAAAAGAACAGTCGTTTTCTTGAGTGCAATATTAATAGTATTTATCTTCTTTTCATCCAATAAATCACCAATGTGAACAGGCCACCACCATATGTGTAAAATGGAGGCTTACCAGATGAGAAGACCCCTTGCTATAGGGGGTCTAAAAAGGCTCTATATAGATTTAACTCCGTCCGAACCTCTGTGTTGTAACCAGGACCCAGATACCACTTAGGTCAGTAAGCTGTTCTCATAGCAGAACCAAGACAGTGTCATGTAAAATAAAACATGCCTCTCATAGTGCAGTAAAAACTGATGTGCCTTTATTGGGCTAGTAAAATCCTACTTACAAAACTTATATCAGCATTCAAATACGGCTTCCAAAATGGTGGACAGCAAGATGACGTCAGAGGGAGGCGGAGCATGTTCTTTTTCACAAAGTGTTTGTGGAAGCTGTCATTCACATGGACTTTGAACATTGTATTGTTCCTTATATGGATCGTATATGATATCACTTATAGGTATTTATTTGCACGTTGTACTGTGTAGGTATAGTTGATCACACAATTAAATACATTTTAATAGAATATTTTTCTTTCACACTTAGCGCAACATTTAATTGCTAATTAGAAATGAATATATGATTTTAAAATTTGACCATAGATATGTTGTATGTGCGTCTCTATGCAATGCAAACAGATCATGGCTGGTTTGAGGAGCCAAAGGTACTACACTACAGCAACAATACAGTTCAATACAAGGGGGTTAGCAGGGCCCTGCTCCTTGGAACTTGAAATAACTAAAATCAAAAGAATGAAATGGATGATCCGGGGACAGTCAGGCTGGGGGGGGGGGGTGTTGGTTAGGGGCTAGATGATGCTGGACACCCTCCTACCAGGAAATGAAGCTGGCTCTGACTTGCCGCAGCTCCTATTGTACACTGTGAAATTCTCAGTGTGCATTGAAATCAACAATTTCGGTAGAGGAGAGGAGACTGTACAACTGTGCAAGACTGGGGTAAGGCCATAGTTCAACTTTAAGAGATATTGTGTTCACGGACGGGAAAGTGGAAATGTTCTGCAAAGAAACCCAAAATCACGATTAAATATTCTACTGGCTTCTGGTTGTTGGCAATGGACAGCCCTGCCGTTCTTAGTTTCTGCCAGTTATAAAATAGGTTTGAATATTACAGGAGAAGGGAAAGAAATGTTTTTACATGACTGTGAAATTGAGAAGGATGACTCAAAGGAAAGTGATCTAAAAGCATATTTTTCAAACTGCATTACTTTTCTTAAGAGGACACCTAAAAATACACAAGTTAATAGCCTTAGTACAAGCAGCCGAAGTGTATTATTGTCCACAACGCACACACTGCTGGTACTGCAAATAATCTTAACATATATATCGATTTCCATCGCTCTCTGAGGGAAAAACATAATTGGAAGCTCAGTGTTGTACGGTATTGATCAGTATATATCATGGGCACTTTGCAGGTAGTAAAAACTGGGATTATTCATTGCCAATTATGTTTTAAGCAATTATCATTGGCAAACTATCAGATGTGCAGATTACTGTGAAACAATCACTGCAAAGATCTCCTCAGGCTGTAGACAGAGGTGGAGAGGTAAACAAAGGCCTCCAGCCAAAGGCATAAATAATAATCACAGGACCCCAATGCAAATTCTTTATAGAAGCTCAGTCCTCGGACATCATTTTGAAAATTCTGTTCAGCACACAATAAAACAGGGTATAGTCAATAATTATTGGGTAGAACATGCTGGGGAATTCACTTGTTTTGTTTATCCTGGTGGTCTGGTGTCACTGAGATGAAAAGTGAGTAAAAATCTTACATTTTGGGTTATCATCTGACCAAGATCAGAGTGGAAATCTTCCACGTAGACATCTGTTCCAAGGAAAGATTTCACCCCACACTAAGGAGATCTCTTCATGTTCTGTTGGATTTACAGGACAGGACGTTGAGGGAGAACTCCCCAATGAGACATGATAGGCAAAGTGTTTTAGCCATTCCCTACTCTACCCATAATTAGAAAGTTTTACATTTAACCACTTCTGTACCACCACACATTTTTGAACAGCGAAGTGTAAAAAACTCACTACACAGACAGTTTACAAAGCCGATCCAAGCAGCTCTGTACCTTCTAATCAATGTGATACCCAATCATGGTGATTATTAAAATAAACATACTACTGTTTATATTGGAGATCCCTTTCCTCTTACAGCAGAGGAACGGAAGGAACCGTAACTCATGAAAGGGGAATAAATGAATAGATCAGCAACAGCTGTTGATCCATTCATTCATTTTCACTGACGGAAATCTTTTTTTAAAACCCTTCACTCCAGTTTGACCTCCAGTTTGTCTCTGTATGTGATCTGTATCTTGCACAACAGCACATTTTTCAGAAAAATAAAATAAAAACTTTTTTCTTTATATAGTAAAAATAGAAAGCCATTGGATTCATAAATGACATTAAAAGAAACCTCCACTTATCTAAACATAAA